CTTTGCCCCGGCACATCCAACGCGGGTCCATCCCGTGCCTGGCAGCGGCTTGGATCGTGACGTGCTTCTCCGTCTTCCCGAGGACTTTTGCACCGTCCCCAGCCTGGGAGCGCGGCTGGTGTTTGAGGGCTCCGTAAACGATAGCGAAGGAGAGCAAGCGTCCCGTCAGTGGGCATAAATCAGCCGGGAGCTGGAAAACAGAGCAGGCTGCGAAGAGAAAGGGAGCGCAGGCCCCCGCTTTCTGCCGTCGGATGGGTCAGGGACTTCCAGTTCATTTATTCTGCTGGGGTTCGCCCAGCCCTGCTCGGCATGTGTAATGTTTTCGCTGAAAGACCTAGCAATGAGATGGGTGAAAAACATTCTCCTGTCTCAGGAGCTGGCAGGAATCCTAGTAAATCTGCAGAAGTATGTTTTTGTCGGTGCTGCTTATTCTGTTAGGGGAACTAGTATAAACTATTCCAGTAGAAAACCTTTTCCTGGAATAAAGTCTTGACTCTGTTCAGAGCATTGTCAGGACAGTTGTACCGGGAACGGAGCTTTGCTGGTAAACACGTCGGGACCGAGGAGTCCTAACGGGGCAGAGGCAGAGCTCCTGCGCCCTCTGCCCCAGGGACGAACCCCTCACGAGGCCCCTGCTGCCTTTTGCTGTGCTCAAATCGAACATAGAATCTGTGTGTGGTTAGTTTGAAAACAAAATGAGGATTTTTTTTTTTTTTCTTCTCCCCCCCTGAAAGCCCGGCGGTCCCTGCCGGGGTGTGCCACCGACCATCCCCTCCAGGCTGTGTGTCCCCGGTGGGGTCAGGGTCAGCGCCACGGGCCACGCCGTGGGGGCGCATCCCCATCCCGTGTCACTCGGCAGCGGTGGAGCCAGCACGCAGCTCGAGCGATGGCTTATGCTTTCCTGCCTCAGTTTCCCTGACCCCGCCGGCACAAGGGGTGATGCTGGGAGCCCCTGGGGTGGTCCTGGGATAACAGCGGGTGCCCACTCCGGTTGGAATTTCCCGTGCCCTGCTGTGTCCTTATCTCCCCGCTCCTCGCAGCCGGGACGGGGATGCCTGCCGAGGCTTTCGGCGGGAGCGCAGTGCCGCGGGCGTGGGTTTGGGCCGGAGATCAGAGCTGTGACGCCCCGGGTGGGGTGCGAGCCCCGGGTGCTGGCGGGGGACGGCTCGGCGCAGTCGGCGCAGCCGGGCGTGCTTCAAAGGGCGGCAGGTTTTTCTGGGCTCCGGCTGCGGCTTTGCTCTTCAGGCAGGCGTGAAAATGTGAAAGAATGTGAAAAATGTGAAAATGATCGTGCTGGCCCCAAGATTTGTAAACTTCTGGTTAATGTGTAATAAATACATGACAGATACTCCCAGCGCTGGGCTGTGGCCGCTCAGTGGTGGTACAGCCGGTGGTGGCATCCCCGAGCCCAGGAGGCATCTCCCCTCCCCTGCCCTGGGGCCAGCCCCGGGGTGTCCTGAGCAGCACTGGTTAGAGAAGCTTTGGGGCTTTTCTAAACTGGTTTATCTGGTTTCGGCTTATCCCTCGTCTTTCTGTGAACCCGCCTTGTCTGGCATGTAAAAATGCACTTTATTTTATTTATTGAATTGTTCCCTGGCACAAGGTGGGTGCGATCCAGCCTGCGTGATGCCAGCGCTCGCAGCCCAGCGCCGTGCGGTGAGGAACACAGTGCCTGTCCCAGTTATCCCGAGGCTTTGGTTCCTGGGTATGATTCTGCCCAGGTCGCCTGTCGGGCTGTACACACTGGTGCAGTATTTCCTGCTTGGCACGAAGCAAAGTGCCACAACAACATGTTCCCACCATAGTCAGTCTGGGGGAATCTCTTCTGAGTCGCTTTTTTTTTTCTTTTTTTTTGCAAAAATAGCTAAAAGATGGTCCGTCAGCTCTGCATGGGTCTGGTTTTTGCAAAGCTATAGGGGAACAGAGATGCTGCTGGAGCACAGGTCCTGGCTTGGCGGTGAGCGGGGACCGGGGCTCGTCCCAGGGAGGCTCCCTGCGACCGCCCCGGTACTGCCGGAGGACGTGCGCAGCGTGCCACGGGGGCAGAGCCCGGGCTCGCCCAGGGATTTGAGAGCAAAAGGGTTGGAGATGCACCTCTGCCGAGGAGCTCGGAGGAGAGCGTGCTGGAGTTGATGCCAAGGGGCAGCCTCGTGCTCTGCTGGGTTTTGGACCTGCTGCGGACGAGGACGGTTCTGCAGGAGCCTGGCAAGGACCACGCCGGCACGTCCCACCTTCCCCAGGCTGTGTTCCACCTCTCCTTCAAATGGCCTCTGAGCATCAGAGATCAAGAAGTTTCATCTGACGCTAATGCATAAATTTCAGCCCTGGATGACTTTCCCCTGTAATTCAGAGAGAAGAGTGCGTCCTTTGAAAATGGGTTTGATTGTTTTTGTTAGCCGTGTCATCCTGGTGTCCCTTCCCACAGTAAAGGGAAAGGACAGAGGTTTGTGGGTGAACGTGGGTTCGGCTCCCTTGGGTTTTGCTCGTTTTTTTCTGGTGCCGATGGGGTGTCCTCAATGTGCGTTGTGTGGCACAGGTCCACCCCCCGAGGACGGGGTGGGGTCCGGCATGGTGCTGCGTGGAGGATGCTCGGGCTTGGTGTGAGGACCACGCTCAGCCTGGCAAAGGGGTCTGGGAGCTGCTGGATGCTGGCGAAGGTGCCGGAGGGCAGGATTTACATGGTGTGGCTTCCTGGAAAGGGTGAGGACCACCCGGCTTAGGCACGGCTCAGCTGGGATGGTTACGTGGCGCTCAGCTGAACTTTGTCCCTTTATTTTTTCCCCCAAAGCCAATTCCAGCGCTGGGCAATCTCCTGCTCCATCGCCCTGCGGAGAGCCCCGGCCAGAGGGCTGAGATGGGGCTGAGGTCACCCTGGGCTGTGCCCGGGTTAATCCACGCTGTGGATTAATTAATTAATTAATTAATTCCCCAGTCCAACCGGGCTCAGCCCTTGTGCAGGGGAGTCGGACCGAAGCAGGGCTGCTCCTTTCAAGCCCCCCTTCCCCGAAGAAACCTCAAGGGATCTCCAAAGAAATTGCAAAGGGAGTTTATTTATGGGAAAATAAAGGTGACTTGGCCGCCGTCACACATGTCCACATAGCTAATCTCGATTCTTCTCGCTGTTTGGCAGTTCAGGGCATGAGGGACGAGCTGTGGGTTTGCAATTGCAACGGGAGCTGTGCGTTGTTCGGGCAGGGCTGTGCAGCCTCCCCCACGGCTCAGCCCACCGACCCACCGCATCCTGCCCTCCTTAATTAATGTACCGAGAGCTTCGAGGCCCTCGGATGCAAGTTTATAAATTGATGCTCTGGGCTATGAATTATGAATGGAGTCACATCCCCGATCACTGCAGTGCTGTGCCAACAGTCCTGAAGCTCATCTGAGCGACAGCCCAAAGCTTTTAAAGATGTGAAGAGCAAAACCTGGGAATAATTTGCTTTCCCAGCTACAAACCTCTTGGCCTACAAATGGGGCTCATCGTGTTCCCTCTCCTGTCTCCTCCTGTCACCTTTTCTTCTTTTGTTTTCCAGTATTCCCTTCCCTCCTCATTCTCCTGGTTTGTCTTTGTGGATATTGTCCTGCTCGGTCATGTTGACCATCCCCTGGGAGCTCTGTCTTCCATGGTGTGTTCCTCCCCCAAGGTTGTCGGTACCAACTGGGGACATCCCAGCTGGGTCCCGCTGGTCCCCCAGCCATCCCCACCAGGGCACAGGTCCCTGTGCCATCCCCACAGCCGGTACAGAGCTCCTCACGCAAGTTTCAGCGGGGTTTCGGCAAATCTCTGCAGCTTCATCTCCTTTTGGCCATAACTGTGTGCTCAAGACGCCGTGTTCCGTGGCTCCATCTCTCCCATCGCTCTTTGGGGTGTTTGTCCTCAAACCACTTCCACCACTGGAAGCCAAATCCTGCCCTAAGCAGCTGTATGTGCTTAATCCTGTAAGCCCGGGTGTTTCTGGGGTTTATTGCCTTCTGGGTTTGCCTGGGTTTCCGCATTCTTACCTGCGGGAGTGACCCCCTCTCGGTGCCCCATGGCCGCAGGGGCTGCGCTCTGCCCCCCCGGCAGCAGTGGGGCAGCGTAAGCAGGACTACATTTCAAAAACGAGCTTTAGAAACTTGTCAGTCGTTACAAATGAAGGCAAGGCCCCGCGGATTTCCCCCCTGCAGCCCTCGGGAGGGAGGGCGAGAGCCGGGGAGGGAGCAGCGCTGCTCCCCGGGGATGACAGCACCGTGGGAAACCATCCCAGCCCGAGCCATGGATGCGGGAAAGGGGTGCGTGCTGTTTCCAGTCCTTTCCAGTTGAGCCGTCGTGAGCCGGGCGGCAAAAAATACCAATTTCAAAGGCAAAGTCTCGGCTCCTGAATAAGCCACTCTGCCCCAGGTCGGGATGCAGGAGGGCTCCGGCGGGTCCTCATTGTGTCTCGTTTCTCTCGCACAGGGGATGCTGTAGCTGCGCAAGGTGAAGGACGGACTGAGCGTCACCGGCAGAGCCACGGCAGTCATTTATCTGCCTGAAACAAGGGTGGCCAGCGCTTCGGCAAGCCGGGAAGCGGGGCTCCAG